ACCCCACACATTTTCCCATCACTTTTACTCATTTGTTTTCTCTTACTGCTGCTATTACCCCTGGCCAGTGCTCTGCTCCTCACTCTCTGCCCCACTGCCTTCCCCTGCCAGGAAGGGGCTCCACGCTCTTCCCCCTGCCCCACTTCATCCCAGGGATGCAATCTCYCTGCAATGTGCCATCCAGCCCTTCTGTCAGCAGGGCAACCAGCTCTCTGCCTCCCTCTGCCCGAGGAATTGTGCCCCAGAGCCAGGATCAGTCACCAGGCAAACAAGATTCCTGCAGAGGAACCCAAGCCCTGCTTACATTGGAGTGCCTGACCCTGGCACCAGGGAGAAAGCCAAAGGCAACACAGCGCTTTGTTTCTCTTAATAAAATGGTGCTCTTGGTCTGTTTTATTTCTGCACACCACTCTCCCCTCCTCCCTCCCAAACACATCACATTCTCAGGTTGAGGGGCTGGGGCTGTGTTGGAAGAGGAGGAGCTGCTGCTCTGTGGAGTTAGGGTTCAGGTCTGTGAGCACAGCCACAGCTGGGAGARGCTCTATAAAGCTTTAAGGCATGACCTGCAGAGTGAACACGCTTCCTTTCCCCCCAAAACACACACACACCCCCCACTGAGATGTGGTGGCCCCATGAATTAAATGTTGATGATGGGTTACAGAATCACGTTGCAACCAACATCACCATTATTCGCTGTTCCTGCTGAATTGTAATTTTATGAATTTCCACTGAGCCCTCTGCAAGGACACACAAACCTCCGGCAAGATTAAAACATCCCAACTCTACCCAAGAGGAGCCCCACGCTCTCCTCRTGCCTTTGGAGTCCAGTTTCTGCCCAGTGCTGCCTTGCTGCTCCCTGGGTCCATCTGCTCTGTGTTTCTTTGGCCACGAGCCCTTGGGAGCCTGCTGCCTTCAGAAACCAGCCCTGCCTCTCATTCTAAAGTTGAGGAGGTCTAAACTCGATTAAGTCCTCCTGAGACACAAAATCCATCATTCAGGATCACTCTGTGAAAGCATCCTGCCCTTTTCACCCCAGCCCAGCTCAGACACCTGCAAGGGCAGAGCCCAGCAAAGGCTGCTCCAAAACAACCTTTTGGAGCAGCCAATTTAATTCTGGGTGAACAGAACAGAACTGTAATTCACAATGTAATTGCTTRGACAAACTTGCTTGAAAACAGACTCATGCCACCGAATACTAAACTTGCAGGGAAGTCATGCAGCCCTACATCTTTTATTTATTTATTTTTTGGCCTAAAAAATACAACCAGCAAGGCAGTTTATTATGGGGTGTTTGATATTGTTGTTCCAAGCAGAACCCATTTATGTCGGCAATTTCAACTGTGCTTGAAAAACAGAGACAGCAAAAGTGATGCAGAAAAGAGCTCCTGATGTTTACAGAGATGCATAAGGRTGAATGTACCAGAGCTGCTAATCATCCCTTTTGACTGCTTTTATGGGTCTGGGAAGTCTCAAAAAAACAGTGTATAGGAACYATTGTGCATTTTGGAATAACATTTTTCTTGTGATGACACACAGGGATGACATTTAGATGCTGCTTTGACGGACGCATTATTTTATTAGAGGATTTCAAGCAGGCGAACAGAGGAGCTTTGTTTTCCCTGTTTCTGTAAGGCTTACATCATCTGCAACCTTTCCACAGGGAGGTCTCATTTCAAATGACAGTGAAAATTGTTCTGAGAAATGCATGTGTTGGTTCTGCTTGAGATGTTCACTGGATTTCATCCGTTCTAACAGATGCTTTGCTGGTGATGGATTTCACCCTCCACAAAAGATTATCTGCTGAAACCTGGGGTAAGTTTAGAGCCTCATGATTTGCCTGGCAGGGATTTCTGTGGCAGTTCAGTCTGTCTCATGTAGCTCTGACACGGGTACCAGTCCTAAACCAAACATCCTGGGGTCTCTCTGCCTGCACCCCAGATTTATCAGTCACCCTGCTTCTGCCTTTTTGGGCTGGTGACATCTATTTTGGGAACTGCCACTGTAAAAATCAGAGCAAGGAAACCCGAAGGTTTCTATTTTTCTCTGCATTCAGCAACTGCAGACATTTACAGGCAGACACACAAACCATCTGTGACAGCGGATCTCCCTTGGTGCCAGGCAAGTGAGCAAAATTTGGAAGAGAAAGTATGCTTTTGAGACATTTTTGTGACCTCTTTTGTTCTTTGTTCTGTATTTTCTTCCTTTCATGTAACTGGARAGCTGCAGCCAGAGGGAGAGGGGGAGTTATAAAGATTTCTGACAGTAATGGCTAAATTGAATCCCATTGTTAGCTCTCAGTATAAAACTAAACCTGCAGATTCTGGSACAGAAGGACACAGCATTCAGCTGTCTCCAGCCAGATGATCTGAGCAATTTAAGAATAAGATTTAAGACCGGCTGTACTGACTAAACTGAAGCCTCATGTGGTCTGTGGTGAAACTGGGTGACTCAGACTCAAATGTAATGCTCTGTCCTTGCAGCAGAAATAACATCAGTGTGTTTGGAGGAAGATTCAGAGGGAACTCACCCCTTCCAAAGGTCCTGCCTGTGTCATTCAGCTGTGATGGGCTGTCCACACCAACCACCCTTCGTGTCACAGGGCAGAAAAKGTGAGAACTCACTCATTATTGGACACTTTATTTGAACACAACTCAGGCTGCTGCTTCGAGTCCTGGCCTCAATGCTGGAAGCAGCTGCTGGTTTCTGAATAATCCATGAAATTCAGACCACCAGTTCAGGATTTCAGTACCAGATAAACTGAAAATAATCCCAGCCTTGTAACAGCGTCCAGAAGTTTGTATTTACATGGCAGCACACGTGAAGTCATGTGTTTCATGTCCTCCTCTGCTGAAACAAACAACTGGACCAAAGAATCTTGTGAGAATGTGGGTATTTGTCAGCTGCTTTGTAAAACGGGGGAGAGAAACCCTACTGAAAGATCTTCTAGGTAAATACAGCATCAAGAGAAACTTGGAACACAATTTTTCAGCTGATCTCCTGATGCAGGAGATGAGCAGCTTCCTGAAATATGCTGAAGGAAGTTTGGCTCTTGTATTCCCAATTTACAGAGCAGCCAATGTCTCACTGCAGCCAAAGGGTAACTTGTGTACAGGGGAATTGCAGAGGAAAAAAAATTAAAATAAACCTCAAGCATCAACTAATGATCTCCTTATTCCAAGCTGGAAAATAACCAAAATAAGGGAAACAAAGAAGGAAAACAACTAACATTTTATAACAACCCAGTTTATTAAACTCYTAAGCAGTGAGAGACATAACCCAGCATTTAAGGTCACTGGACATGAAGCTGGATGACATCAGCAGTGAAATCCTGCCCTTCCCTCTCCCCAGGCATAAGGATGACAGTCACATTTTTAACTCAGCACGGCAGCAAATGTAGTTCAAGGTCCCCAAAGCCCCTGAGCAGCAGGCACAGCCCCCAGAGGGGTCTGCAGTCCCTCCCCAGTCCCTGCAGGCTGTGACAGCAGGGCAGGACGTGTCCCCACCGTCCCCTGGCTGGTTTGGCAGAGAGCAGAACAAAACCAAAGCAGCCTTGCTCTGAGGTGAAAGGGGCACAGATCAGCCATCAGAACATGAAATAATCTCATCTAACCACTTATATAATGTGCAGGCCACACACATATATATAGTGTGTATATATTTAGTTCAGACTAGAGAATGCCTCCATTACTGATCCTGGGCCTCGTCATTTGATGGAATTGTAAAGAATCTTGCCCAAATTAATTCCATATGAAACCCTGCAGCCTCCAACAGCTCTGAACATCCTCTGATTTCATTTACACCATCTTACACCTGCCTAATTCTGARCAACATTGCTCACATAAACAACCCCTGCAGCAACAAAAATGAAAGTCAGCATMTGACCAAGCCARACAGAAAATGTTTGTGTACTAAAAAAAATGGCCCAAGATGCAAATATGGGTGTTCTTCTGCAATCTTACTGTAAATACAGRGCAAAAARAGGTACTTGCTAATAAATCACGTGATGTATTTGAGAGCTGGAAATTTGGTAWGGAGTGKGTTTTTGTCTTCAAAGTAAAGGCAGGAATATGCAAATCAAMAGCCAGAGCAAATCAAAGGTACTTTGTAATTGACATTTTAATTTAATAATCATTGCAGAAACCACCAAAGAACCCCAGATCCAAACACGAGTTCAGCCAAAGTCTGAGGCAGCACAGCACTGGCACAAACACATGTGGAGGATTCCCATTGTTATTCTRAAGGATATTATGCCAGAAGCACAGGCAGTGACCTCCCAAAATAAATGGCAGAATCCCTTCTGGAATTTCCCTAACTAGCAAAACATACTGGATTAAGTCTTGATGCGTGGAGTGGGTTCACAGTTTAATTTACAGGCAAAAGGAGTCTCAAAGGGACTTGTGAACATGGCACCACCTTCCCCGCGACTCATTTACCTTCTTCCCACCCTAAAACCCTTTCCACACACAGAGACAAACCCCCTCACAGTGTGTTCAGCGACTGCCAGGGCTTTCACAAAGATTTTCACAAGGGAGGCTCCTGGTCCCCATCAGGCAGAACAGAAAATGGGATTTGAGTCTCCTTTTATAAGACACCCCAGCTATTGTTTGCCTGTTTCTGGGAGTCACTTCAGGCACATTCTGATCAGAAATTCTGCAACCAAAAGTTGCTTTCCTTTCCAACCAGCTTTTCCCCAGCACATCTGTGGTTTGGATGTTGTATCTCAGGCAGAGGCACTAAAACCCCATCAAACATCACAAGAGTCAAGACAATGAATGTTTGAGATGATCAGAGATAAAGGGAGAAGCTTTTCCATTTCAATTCTATRTATATTGAACAGCAAGCAAAGCAGACAACAAAAAAAAAAATCACCTTAAAACCACGTCACAGGAGCCACACTCAACCCCTGACTCAGGCAAATGTCCCAGCAGGGTCCTCCCAACCAATAAATGGATCATTTCTTCACAGAGATGGAAAAGATAAAAGTACTCAACACTTCTCTGTTCAGAACAGAATCTATTTTATTCAACACAGGACGTGTGAATGGAAAAAAATTCACAATAACCAGCATTAAAAAAAACAAGAAACCAACCCTGCAGTTGTATTTAAATTTGGCTGTACCTACTGGTCACTCACATTTTTACACACAACATTCTGTCAGCCTTGCCCATTTCCAGATTAATGGATACAGACACCTGACACTAACAAAACACATAGTCTAGTCATTCTCTGGGGCACCCTTAGGGTTTTTGAAAAAAGAAAAACAAATCTTTTACTGTTTTGTCCCACAAATTTGTAGCTGGGAGGAACTGAAATGCTGCAGAGGAGCACAGAAGTAGATGTGGGCAAGAATCCCAACTCCTGCCTACAATGGATGGAAGGGAAAGGATCAGCCCAGCACCTCCAACTTTGTCATTATCCCATACCCGAGTCACTGCAGTGCAAAGCTATTCAAATAAATAAATAAATAACAGCAGCAGCCCCAACAAGTAAAACCCAAAACACAGTTAAATATCTTTAGAAATACAACCAAAAGCTTTTTTAACCTCAGACTTCAGTCCACAGGGGAACAGTTTCTCAAAATCTGAGCGCAGCAGAGTTTGAATTGTTTCAATAAACAAGTATAAAGCTCTACACATATTTTTGGGGGAAGGGATTGGAATCCCCAGCTGAAGCGGTCCTACATCCATCCCTCCCTCTCCACAAAGCCACTGAAGTTGTGCCAGGACAGCTGTTTTGGGGTTGCAATGTTATTTTTGCTCCATCAGAGGCTGTTTCAGCAGTGCCCCAAGTTCAGCCTGGTTGAGCAAGGAGCAGCTTGAAATTCCAGGGGCAGTTTCCCATTCCAAGGGGATGCAAGTCCTTTCAAGTAACATTACTTGCACAATTCTGTCCCACTGAACCACAGCCCAAGCACAGCACAGATTTTTGAGTTCACCTATTGAGTATCCCCCCTGGTTTGCTCAAAATGTGTGAGGTGAACCTTTCATCCAGGAAAGGGCAGGGACAGGACCCTCCCAGAGCTCCCTGCAAGGACCTGGCACCTTCCTCAAGTCCCTGGGGATCTGATGCCATTCCTGCAGCTCTGCTCAGCAAAAAACAGTTAAAAACGAGCACACTGACACTGCTCAAGTCAGGCATGAAGCACGGGCTGGATCAAACCAGTGAAGCAACTCAGAGACTGAGCAATTCCAAAACAGCCCTGGAAATTCAGTGTTGTGCCAGCACAGGGAACACAACACCAGCAGCTGGTGGGAAGTTCCTGCCTGTTTTGCAGCACTTTCAGAGTGTTTTTGCTAATCAAGTGTCAAGATTACTGCCTTGTCTCACAAAACTCAGAGCACAGAACAAGAAGGCCTAGAGCTTCAATAAATACCATTAAGAACAACACACAGTTTAAATTACCTAATCTTTGTGAGCCAAGTATAAACACCCCGTACAAAAAAAAMCATTGCTTTTCACTTTGTACATCTTAAAAAAAAATCACAGAAACATTCTGTTTGCAAAGCAGAYAGCTGTACAAAGAAATTACATGTTCTGAAGACATTAAACCATCTACCTGCTGGGTAGCACTCAAATGTTCTCTTATAAACTGCCACCCACCTAGGTAATTTTTCTTCTCTGATATTTTGGCTCCGGATCTGAAACCCAGGGCCACTTGAAAGTAGTCACTTGAGAGAGATTTCTGGATATTAAGGCCCTGATCTGATGATGATTTCCATGAGCACACACCAACACTGAAATCACGAGTGCCCAGAGATCTCTGTGTCAGTGGGCACCAAAGCAGCTCCATCTGCTCAGTCCTGTGCTGCTGAGCTCACAGGTCTCTGCCTCCCAAAAAATACACCTCTCATGTCAGCCCAGCCCAGCAGAGCAGCACAATTCCGTGACGTTTGTACAACCTCAATAATGCCCTGAAAAATCATTAGAGCCCCCACTGGAAATTCTGACTCATAAACTGATTTTTGTTGCTTAGGACTCCTTTTTTTTTGCACAATCCTAATGGAGGACTAACATCCATCCAGAGAACCTGTGAAAACTGCTAACTGCAGTACACAGCAAGAGTAAATTCTATTTTATAACCTACCAAAAGGCTGGATGCTGTCCTTGGGAAGCAGTACTGTAGCTAAAAACTACTAATACAGTGGGGTGATTATTGTCTGAGCAGCTTCAAACACTAATAGCAGCACACCTTAATAACCAGCTGATATTGTCCTTTATAAAGTGGTGCTCTCAATGTACACAGGATGACACAAGAGACTCATACTTTGCTCACTGACACCAGAACAGTCACCTGTAGACTGCTAAAATCTCAACTTCCTCCTGCTCTAGCTTTGCCTCCATTTTTGGCAAACACACAGTTCATAACTGCAATTAAARACATCCTATCAAAAGAAATAAAAAAGGCACTTGGTTTTTGTCTTTGGCTCAGTTGAGGCGTGCTGCTGAAACCTTCCCAAAGTCCCCATCTCTTCTTCTGATGGACTGTGCCATCCTGAGGTACTGATTCATGTGCAAAAATCAGAGCTCCAGGGATTTACCAGCTGCAGGTCTCACATTGCTCCCAGTGAACATGCAAAGCTCTTCACCAAGCAGAAACTCTTATTCTGTATTTAAGGTGTCCCACAGAGTTTGGTTTTCAGGGAAGAGCCTTGTCTGCTGGCACTCTCCTCATCCCAGCTCTGCTCTCGTAGCTCAGTGCTCTTTAAATCTGGGGAAGAACACAAACCAGGCAGGAAAAGTTGAGGTGTGAGGTGTAACAGCCACCAAAATGCAATATCCAGCCTTTTTCTATTCCCTCCATTTTACTTCTTCAAAATTACAACCAAGGCGGCTCAATTTAGATTTTGTGTATTGATTCAGCAGATTTTTTTTTCTCAATTTAAAATGCTGTAAATTCAGAGTAATCCTTTTCTTTAAGGAGAACTTTTGGGAAAAGTTACATTTTAAACTATTATTAAACACAGAGCAAGAAATTGAGAGGTTTATTCCCCATCCATACAATGAGGAGGATCCACCTCCAGGAGGATCAAATATTTGGGAAAAAAACAAACCACAAACAAGAGACTGTGACAGAGGTTGTCTTCAGATATTTTTCAAAAGAAGATGCTCTAAAGGAAAGTGTCCATGGTATGAAAACATTAAACTGAGGTTACTCTTTTAAAGCAGAATTAAAACAGAAATGGATTAACATAAACCTTAACAGATCCAGTCTGCATTTAGGTATTATGGGGCAAAGGTTCGACCTGATCTTGGGGGTCTTTTCCAACCTCAATGATTATACATGATTATATACGTGATTATATACATGATTATATACATGATTATACATGAAAAGCTTAAAAATGTGTTTTCAAATCGCTATTAAAGCACAGCAGCCATGCAAAACACTTACAGGGTGTGATCTGCATGACACTGAAGTTCCTTCTGGATAAGACGCAGTAAGAGCTGCAAAAACAATCACAGAATCGCTGTTAGCATTTGCCCAGACAAACAAGCTAAGAAACTTATTTCAGGGTGAGATGTTCACTGTTATTTGGAGAGTTTCTCATTTGAAACACTACCTTCTAATGCTGAACTCAATTAAAAAAAAAAATTAAAGATTTATTAAAACTTTACAGATGCTCAGTTAATGTCCGGAAGAGGAGTTTTCACAATGAACAGGCAAGAGGAAAATAATTTCCTTTTTGCATCAGAGAGATTAATTTCTTCATAAAACCCTCAATGGTTTTCTGGTTACTTTTCCAGCAAATGTGTAAAGAAACCAGCAGAGGGACCCCGAAGCTTCAAGAAAACATGTCAGAAAGAAATTCTGGAGCAAAGAAGTATTTTAGCTGCTACTTGGAAAAACAACTATGTGTGTGAAGAGCTTTAATGCCACAATTAGTCAAGGTGAGCACAGTCAGTCACKTTTGCTTGCCTGGGCAGTATCAGAGCTTTCAAGTGCACTTTAAAAGGATTACTGAGCAGCAGGAAAGTGATTTTACAMATACAATTTCATGGTTCTCACGAACATTAAAGACAGAATTGGAGCTTTCRGGGTTCCTCACTATTCCAGGTTATGTTACCCTCAAAGTCTCACTGTTATAAATTGAAGTTTCACTGTTATAAGTATTAATGTTTTAAAAAGTTAAATCTTGTATTTCAGAGACACAAAAGTGGCCAAGAATGACAAAAGTGAACACCACATAGGAGGCCAAAACCCTCCAGGTGTCCTTGAAGAAATAACATTTGAACACAGGCATCCATATGCTGCACTGCAAATACCAGGAAAAGCAGAGGAGTTACATAAAAAAGGAATTATTACAACTGCAGAGTCAAACCTCTCGAAACCAGAGCTTTGCAAAGGCGTTTTAATTGATTCTGCAAAGAAAGGTGGCATTTTTTAAATTTTAATCAATAACTGCAAGAGAAAAACGACGAGAACTTTATCTGCGAAAGWTAAGTCAACCTCCCAAGACTCACTCTGCAGCATGAAATACCAAATACTGAAAGCAGCACAAGCCAGGATTTATAAAGCTGCTGACTACCAGTGGCAACAGACTTCACCTATTAACTTACCTAATTTATTTATTTAATTTCCAGGGATTTACTCKTAAATGTGAAAAAACCTACTTTTAAATTTGGGGATTATTTTGAATTTGGAAAAAAAGCCTCAACTGTAAGTCAAAGCAGGACTTTCTGCTTTTCTTGTGTCAGGAAGTGAATGCTCTGACACTCTCAGCTCCTCTGCAGGAGCCCAGAGCTCACTGCTCTGCATAGAACCACCACCTGTGTGCTCTTTTTTTCCTAAACATCTGCTGGTTACTGTCAAAAACCAGGATGCCAGTTTTCATCTAACTTAGTACAGCAGTCTCAGGGCCCATCTGGAAAATGTGATTGATTAACTTTGAACAGCTTCATTACCACGGTGATTTTGGTGACACAGCAACGTAGGAAAACATTTGTTATGCTTTGACAAAACTGGCTTTAAAGAAAACAGAAGTGATTCTTTCATGAGTGGACCCTGAGGCAACTTCCATGTCTAGATATGAAGTTTTACTTGCAATTATACCTGTTCTAAGCCAGCAATTAACAGCTGTGTTAATTTGCTCAGGAATTGAAGTGCATCAGAATTAATCTGCACTTTTGATTAAAATAGATGAGAATTTCAAAACAAGCAAATTTGCTGTTAGATTGAAAATTTCCTACACAACTGGAAATTGAATACAACACAGAATATTGAAATGGCAGAAGGACAATTTGCATTTTGGGATAGTTTAGCACAAAGGAARTAGACAGCAATTAGATTTTTAGACTTACTAGCAAGGCACATGCATCTGCCACCATGAGCATGTAGAACACGTTGTTCCAACCAGATGGGGAAATAAGGCCAGCCAGGAGAGGCCCCAAAGCTGCACCTAAAATATAATATCAGTATTATATTTTGGTATTTTAAATTATATATTGTCAGAACTGTGCAATGTGAGATTTACTACATTGAAATCCAGTTATTCTGAATTAGAGCATCAATTTTTCCACCTAGTTAAATCAATATTACTTTATGTATTGGAAGGCCCCAGGAAGAACAGAACATTACTGGTACAGATGCAATCCAGTGGCAATTTTTCCACCCAGTTAAATCACTATTATTTCACGTATTGGAAGGTCCCAGGAAGAACAGAACATTACTGGTACAGATGCGACCCAGGACAGCTGGCAGACTGGATGTGTGATAAACACCTGACTTTGGCTCAACAAAATGCCCATCCAGTACTGAGCTGAATCTTTCCCTTCCACATGGAGGGCATAAATAAAATAATCCTGATCCCAGGAACAGCCTGGCACCTCCTTTTGCTGTCTGTGCCCCCTGCCAGTGATGCTCCCTCTTCCTCCCACCCTCAGGGAGTYTGCACCACTCCCTATTTCCAAAGGTGCTGATTCCTGGCAGAATGAGCTAAAGAGAGCTCAATTTCTCAAAGACCCTTTGTGTGAAGCTGGCCCAGGTGAGGCAGGTGGCCGTGGCTTACCCACAGATCCTGTCCCGTCGATGATGGCCGTCACCGTGGACAAGGCTCTGGCATTTCCTTTCAGGCTTTTGTGGGTACCCTGGAGAGACAGAGATGGCTCAGACCCATCCTGAGCTGAATCTGAAAAAATCCTGAWAACATCATCCATCTTACACCCCTCCACATCAGATGTGTGCTGTGGAGATGCCTTAAACACCTGCAGTGTCAGCCCCTTCAGCCAGGTAAAGGATGAAAAGGGCAATGCCTGGTGGTCATCTTGGTCTGACCAACACCTCCGGGCCAAGGACAGGGCTCCAGAGATGTCTGGACATTTCCTCCTTGCTCCTTTTCCTGTATTCAGTTTGTTAGAGGGCTTTTGCCTCTTGCTTGGTGCCTTAAGGAACCAACACCTTACAAAGCAAACTCCCCAAGTCTCCCTGAGGAGCAGTGTTCATGTTTCCATGGCATTTGTGACTGGGCTGATCTGATCCTGCTGGAAGTGCTGGCAGCCAGGAACTGCAGCACAGAGGGCAGGTGTGCACCTGGATTTTTGATTTTCACATCCTTCCCTTCTGTAAAGATCTGTGTCAGGCACGGCTTTTGCACTGATGGCAACTGAGCCACTGGCTCATCTTTCACACAGGCACAGCTCCTCCAGTCATTTAAAAATGCAAAATATAAAGGGGACAAAGCACCTGTACAGAGGCCTGGCTTTGCATGCAACCTTCAGATTCTCTCYGGGCTGTCACCCACAAGATTTGGGTGAAAACTCTCACTCTGGCTTGTGAGTGGTCAAGAAAAATTTAGAAGCCTCTCAAAAGCACGGCAGCCATTCATACTGAAACACAAACTCTAAAACAACCTGAGGGGCTGAGTTCAGCACTGCYTTTCGAGCTCCTTATCCCTGTGCTTTGGGACAATGCAGCCCCTTCCTTGATGACCCTGCACAGGTCAGAGGGCTCTCTCTGGAAKCCAAACTGCTACAGGGGAAGCCAAACTCACCAAGTCAGCAGAGACAGCAGTGGTGATCAGGGCATAAGGGCCATTCACCAGGGCTCCACTGATAAGCAGCATCACTGTTCCAAGTGAAAAAAATTAAGGAAAATGTGAGCTGCCTAAAGACTGTTCACTATAACAACAGGAGACATCATAGCCTGTGGTTCCCAAATTGTTTAATCCTTCCTTGGCTCCCCTGGCCCCACTGCAGAATTGGGAAAGGAAGAAAACCAACAGACCCTCTCTCTTTTCAATGCTCACCCCATGATGTGAATTCTCAAATGTAWCAGAAGGTGGGGCTGAGGCAAAAAGCACTTCCCAGGCTCTTTATTGATCCTGGTTGGTCACAGAAAGGGGAATATTTGACCATGAGGTCACAAGATACACCCATAAATCCCTTCTCTGCTTGTACAGCACCTAAACTGAACGAGGCCYTTCGGCAGGTGAGACACCACTGTCAGCACTCAGGTTTTAATTTCTGTTTTGAGGTAGCAGACAGAAAGCCACAAGTGAATTCAGCCTACTCAAGTAWATTCTGCTGTCAAAAGTACTACAGGCAACATTTAAATACCTCTGGCACTCTGCACAAGGGATGTTAAAAAGCCTGAGCTGACACAACAAGGTCCAGAAAGAGTAATGATATTAAGGAAATCACTGTTCTCATACCACACCTCACTCATTTCCACCTACTCACTTCACCCTGTAAAAAGCCAGGACCAAATTTAAGGAACTGGATTCTACCCTTCCTCCTCTAAGGGACAAGATAAAAAAGGAAAAAAAAACAAACAAGAAGAGCATCAAAGATCATAAATGAAAAGTTCACAAAAAGCTAGGCAGAACAATTTTAAAATRCTCACCTACAGTAGCCTCAAGGCCCATTTTACTGACTGCAGAGAACATGTACAGCTGTAAAGATAAAAATAAACACTCTGAATACCAACATATGCAYTAATCCTGGGTTCCCCATGTGCACTATGTAAACTACAGGATCTCTTTGCTGATATTCTATGGAAGTTCCAGGTTTTACTAAACCCTTTCTGGCCACAGCAGAATGATTGTTTGATTGGACACAGGAGGGAGATAAGGAGTAGGATCCCATTCCCCAATGTCCTTTCAGAAGGAAGGGCTGTATTTTGAGACCATTGAATTTTCAGCTTTCCAGCTGCAGCTTCAACACAGCACAGAATACAGCTCATGAAAAAATGAAATAAAAATGTATCTCTCATGTCCATCTGCCTGTTTCCCAACAGTTGCAGCTCACAAATTTTGGCCTTTGAGCAGTTAAAATTCTGGCTAAGAATTGAACATAAAATTTACAAGAGAGTGRAACTTCTCATATATTTTGTAACAAAATTAAGTAAGACTTATTTGTTTGTTTAGTAAACAAGCTTGTTAGCTTGTTTAGCCTCAATTATCTACACTTGCTCAACTTTTCATGCCTGTTTTTAATCTGGCTTGGACTCTTTTTATCCAGGTCAGGAGATGCTGCCTGCAGAGCTGTCCAGGGAATGGTGTCACCGACGTGAGAGAGGGGCAGACTCTTACTGTGGGTGCTGCCAGCAGCAGCATCATTCCGCAGGTGGAYGCTCTCTTCTCCAGCCTGTCCGAAATGAGACCTGCCAAAATCCCACCTGCAAGGGGACACAAAGGTGTGAGGAACAGCCAGTGTGTGTTTTACACAAAACACATCAGTTTTATTTAATGAAACACAACCCAGTGACTTTTACTGCAGCGTTGCTCAGGGTATGAGCCTGACACAATTCACACTGCAACATCCTCATTAACCCAACCAGTTCTGACATGAATGCAATAGAAGCAGACAGTTGTTCCTCCYCATTGTTTATTCCAAATATCCAAGGCAAAAAGCCTTTTCCCAGGTGCCACATGGCCCCATGGGTGGAGTTCTAAAATACATTCACTGGTTTCTTAACTCTTCACATGCAACAGAAAACTTRGTTCTCTGTCCATGTCTCACTGCAGCCAGGGAAAATGAGCCATTTTAGATTTTGGGGCAAATTAAATCCTTGGGTTTTTCTCCAGGTAGTCAATCCAGGCTCTTGAATTTCCCTTATTTCTTGTGTTTACCAACAACTGTACATAGAAAAACTGATGGGAGCGTGGGGCTGGAGGAAGGCCCGAGGGAATGAGCTGTCAAAATTGTAGGGAACTTGTCCAGGGAGAAGAAGAGGAAGTTCTCTGGATTCTCCAGATTCCCAAATATCACTGGGCCTGCCTTTTCCTTCCCAGCTGCCCATCTCCAAATCGCTCCCATCCTACTTGAATTTAATACAAACACCAGATCCAAGCAGCACTGGCACATTGTTAAGCCTGTATTCACTGCAGAGTAAGATGCTGCTGGAAGGTGTCACCCACATCTCCAAGGCAGAGCTCTCTGGGRTCAAACAGGCAGAAATCACACCCAGAACAGGAACTGCAACACACCCTGACACCAACACCCTGAACTGCCAGGGACTGCACAGCTCCTGATCCAGGGAAACTTCTCCATCATGAGCCTTGTTTTCCAAGGGACTGACACAGGGCTTATTTCCATAAGAGAACTGGGGGAGATGGAGAGGGGATGGGTGTTTGGGCTAAGTCAACCAGGCTTCAGGATGGTGTTTGTTTTATTATAAGCTGTGCTATCTGCACTGGGAACAAAATTTAGTAAATTTAGTTATCCAGTGGTCACTTTGCAAATTAGGAAGGAATAGCCTAGTCCTTATCATTGTTATGATCTCCCAATTTTATCAATACATTATTTTATGTGATAAAACAGTAAGGTATTATGGAGAAAACAAAGCAAAACACCTATGGCCATTCACCTTTGTGCCCACAAAAAATCGACACAACCGGTACAAACTGAGACAGTTCTCTTAAGAGTGACAAAAGGAAGTATTTTGATAGGTGGTGACCAAGACTCATGGGCCAGAGCTGATGGAGCTAAAATACTCCATAATTTGACTCTTCCAATCTGCACTGGACAGTACTGCTGGCTCTGAAAAGTGTTTTGTTACATTACCACTGTCCAACACAGCTCTCAGCTCAGTACCTTTACTGTCTCTCTTCATCAGTGGCAATAATGTATATGAACCATAAAATATGTAAGCTGTGTGTGCCAGAGCCTTTCTTGRACTGGTGTGATCAGGAGGGAAATAAAACGAGAACTTACCAAAGATTCCACCCACATCAAACAGCGTAGAGAGGTCCCCAGCTCTTTTGGCATCAAGGTGCTCTGGTGGGAGACACAAAACATTTGGCTCATTTCTAGGCTTTAAAACAYGGAAATCTCATCGGTCTTGTAATGCCAGGGCAAAGGCATCTTACAGCAGAGTCATTAATTCACCAGAATAAGCGACAATAAGGTGACATTGTGGGAAAGAAATAAGGACGTGAGTAGGTGTTCAGCAATACAGACATTTGAATGCAATTACTCACTGCAAGAGACATTTCATCACTTTTATAATCACTGAATGACAGAATGGGCTGGGTTGGAAGGGATCTTTAAAGGTCAYCCAGTCCAACCCCTCTGCCATGAGCAGGGACATCTTCAACCAGGTCAGGTGCTCAGAGCTCCATCCAACCTGAGTTTGAATGTTTCCAGGRATGGGACATCCACCAGCTYTCTGGGCAACCTGTTACAGCATTTCACCACCCTCACTGCAAAAAATTTCTTAATGTCCAGTCTAAATCTATMCTCTTTTAGTCTAAAATCATTACCCCATTTCCTATTGCAACAGACMCTGCTAAAAAGTTGGTCCATCTTGCACTCTGAAGTATAGAAAAATCACAACAGCAGTACTGAACAGACAAAGAAGGTCTCGTAGATGATTTTGTATAGGTTTTAATCAGGCATTTCAATCATGAAAAGCATTGTTAGACAGCAAGACTTTTTGATTTGTTTGCAAGAGCCAAAGACATGGCATTTATGACTGAAATTATTGAAGATAATCCAGTTATGTTTGTTTTGAAAATGCCCTCTCATAATACTGAATTCATAAACCTGAGAAATGCTGCTTGGTAACGTATAACTCCCCTGTTACTGCAGCAGAGAAAGCCTCTTCCAGAAGYAGTAATGTTTATTTTCTTATTTATTCCAATCCCATATTTGCAGACACTTTGTAGCTGTAATTCAGTATCCCTGTCCTGTGATACTCACCTACATTTGTGATGTAGAGGGGAAGCCAGAAGAGGAAAGTRTAGCTCACCAGCTTTGCAAACAGGAGACAAAGGGAGAACTCCACGACTCCCTGAGAGAATAAAAAAACCAGGAGTTAGCATCTCAACAGAGCTATTTCCTTTCACAGACCATTATAAAAATGGTTTCTAAGAAGCATTTAGGCTTTTATTTTTCTCTCAAGAATTCCCAAGAAGCATTCTTCCCCTGAGAGCACAAAGCCTGCGCTGTGAGCAGACTGTGGTATTTTACTTACATGTTTTCTTTCAGTTGTACTGAACTGCCTGAAGAGAGAACACTAAAATGGTACAGAATAACCTGAGGTGAGAACACTGAGATGGATGTGAAGGATTTTATTTTGTTTGGGACACCTGCATCACTTACTGCCCTCATCCCAAGAGTTGTTACATTAGCATTATGGCAGGTTTGGAACTTGTTCCAGAGAAACTGGCATCTTTTTGTGCTCCTTCCTTCAGATGGGTCCAAGATTCGTCCCTCATTGTTGAGCTCTTTATGAAAAGCCCCTGTGACACAGTTCAGATCAGAATGTGGTAAGAGCACACCACAGACTGGGCTATGGCCTGTTCAAAGCTCTAACTTGCTCCATCCTCTTCCCTGCTGGGCACATGAAAGTGWATTTACTGCACAGAGCTGCAGCTGAACTGCCAAATTAGCCCACCTCCAACCCCCTCACCATCTGATAAGTTTTGTTTGAAAGCAGATCTCTTCAATTCCTGTATGGAGGGCTGTATTTATCCTGAGGAACAGCACACAYGCTCCATATACAGCTGTGACCCTTCCCAACAACAGGCAGGACAAACTCCACAGAGTTTCAGAGATTCCAGGTAGCAGCAGCAACAGCAGTTTTTCTATCCATTGCTTCCACGTTGCCACWGGAAAAACAGGACCAGACTGAACAGGATGGGAGATGCAGGAATACAGTGGCTGGGTGCACGTTTTTTTGTTTTTTTTCTTTCTACCTCTATTGTGATCCAAATCAATTTGCAAATAATCCTACTTTTGTATCCTCTAGAAGCTTTTAGGTAATTATAAATGACAGGTTCTGGCATCAAGGGAACTTCCTTTCCTTTACCAGCAGTCCAAATGTTTGGGCTGCCTGAAACTTCTCATGYAAGAGATTTTATTTTAAAAGCTTTTTCAAATGATGCTGAAAAATGTAAAAAGGGGAGGAAGGTCTGACACAGGGAAGTGCTTATGGACTCAGTTTGCTATTCCGTACTTAACATTTACATTTCTATGGGTCCAGTCAGTTTTTAGAATAGGCTTTTTAGTCAGTTTTTAGAATAGGACAGAAACAACTATTTCAGTCAGAAGCGACCTACAGCAACATCCAGTGCAACTGCCTGACCCCAGCAGGGCTGACACAAGTTGGAGCATTTTATAAAGGTCATTACCCAAATGCCTCTTGACCTCTGGCAGAGAGAGATCAGCAGCTCTCTTTCCACTTCTCCACCTCAGAGAGCAATGAGGTCCCCCCTGAGCCTCCTTTCTCCCAAATAAACMAAGCCCAAAGTCCTCAGAGTTCCAAGATTGTGATGCAAAGTTAACAAACTACACCACTCCAACTGGATCTTTATGGAAATATGAATTCTGAGGCAAAACTTAATTCTTAAAAAGGAGCAGCACAGGCACTCACAGGTATCCTCAGGGCCCCCAGGAAGCTGATGGCTGATGTCCCATGCCTTCCTTCCCCGGTGGCCCCACTGCAGTTCTCAGAGTCAGTGAGTAAATGCTGCATCTCCGGGTCCTGAAACATTCCCCAGCAACAGATGAGAGAGAGAAAAGAATGAAGAAAGAAAATTTATGTCAAGAAATCATATATTCCAAAATAATTTAAAGAAACAAGTATCTGTTTTTATCACACAAAGTTACAGCTTTTAAAAATGTCTTGATTTGGACAGGAATTCCAAAGTAATTTTTAAAAACAAGTATCTGGGTTTTTTTCAGAGGAAGTTACAGTTTTTAAGAATGTCGTGGTTTGGATATACAGAGTACATAAAGCAGAGACTATAGACAGAATATCAGATGATATCTGCTTGTTTGATGTCTGAGTGCACACAGTCCATAACAGAATCAAGTTTCTGTTCTATTGAGTAACAATTTTAAGTTGCAAAAAACCCATATATTAGAGTACATTCAATGGAATAAAACAGTTCCCACTCTTCCCTTACCCCACTACGTCACTGTGATAGAATTAAAGCTCACAAGCTACTGAGTCCTACAACATTGCATACATGAAATTCCTAAAATAATATATTTCTGTATAAAACCATGTATTACCTTCTTTCTGTACAAGTATTAAGCCCATTTTTCAGACTCTGCAACATCACCTTACTGATTTGAATCCAGGCCATCTTTCCACATGAATTATGGATACTGAGTACTTTATGTTAAGCAATTGCTTTTTTTTTTTTTTTTTTTNTTTTTTTTTTTTTTTTTTCTCAATTTTATTTGAGCATTGCAATTGCTGAATTATAGAAGCCTGGACTTTATCAGTATTGCCTAAGTTGTAAATTCTGAGTTCTTTTCTAGTACTGGGAAGGATTTTATTCCAAGAATTCCACTGGCTGCTAAGAATACTTGTGGAGCATGTARCCACCCCACAAGAACAAGCCAATCCAGTGCAACCAGGAGGGCTTATGTYATTTTTATTCCTCCACCAGACTGAAATGAACTCTCAGAATAGAACTGAAAATTTACATCTCACAGCTGTACACAGAAAAAAAAGAAATTTCAGGTATAAATAGCCCTCAGTACTTCTTTTGCAGCTCAGGAGAAAGGATGGGATGTAGCTATCCTCACTTTCACCAGCTTGCTGAGAGGCTTTACCCAGCTGTGTACTTTTCCTAGTTAGGTATTCTAAACACTTGTCTCCTTTCTCCTAATTCTTCAGCATCTGAAGAAAGCCTCAGTGAAGAATTAAGCCTCAAATATGTATTTGACTGTAGGCTAGAAAGGATATAAAAGCAGGCCGTTCCATTTCCAGTGGTTATTGCAAAGATGAAAACTTTGATTAATATTTGCTAAGTTGATGGAGGAAGGAAAACGTGCTGGAAAAGTTCAATTCTACTATTTTACACTCAGTGATTCTAAATAAATTCTGCTTTTAGAGAGCATCATTTAGGAGAGGGCATCAGGGAACCATCTGGACACCTGAGCCCAGACACTCAGAATGTTTCAGAAGCTGCCATGCAGCATCCCAAATTCTGTATTYGATTGTTAGATGGGATGCAGGACTTAGAGGAGCCCAGGATCTGGGTTCAGGTGATAAAGCATTAACTAGGAGACAGAAAAAAACATCTGGGGACCTTTGACACGGCACTGCAAACCTGTGTTAGGCCCAGGRGTCACCTCATCACCATCACAAATATTTAACTTCTGAATTACTGGAACGACTTCAAAACTTGAACTATTTTTAACAGCAGCAATTCAAWCCATAAGCTTTTAAAATTTTTGAAAAATTAAAGAGAGAGGGAAAAAAGAGGAAAAAGAAGGGTTTAAGCAGTGAAGCTCCCCATTGGATTCTAGGTGGTATCTGAGCATTTCCTGCACAATTTGCACAGCAAACCCAGCCGGGACTGTGTGAGGCAATGCTGCTCATCTCCCAGACAAGGAKCTCTAAATCTGTTTTGAAAGAGAGGGTAAATATTGCAGGAGAGGTGACCAAAGTCCAAATAACTTCTTTAAACTTGTTCTGGAAACTTTTGTTGATGATACAGGGTTTTTTATGCTGCTGAAAGATAAATAAAACCAGCAGTTTGTGCTTGGCAGAGATGACGTTGTACAGCCTTGCCAGCTTGTCTCAGAGCATGATTAGGCATATGGCACACTCTTGATCTCTGGGGAGGGATTCATTATCCCTCAATTTTGTGTAATTTTTAAGAGGCCAACCTAACACAAGCAGCAGTGAAGGCACAGAGGTATTCAGGTCAGGCAGCCAAAAACACATTCTGCTTTCAATCACTGCAGATCCTGAGTATTTGCTTTCTTTTTACAGTAATTGCAGAGGTCAATGAAAACCCAGTAAAAGGTGCCATTCCAGTGTGCTTGGAGACCAACTCATAAATGCAARACATCTGCTGTTTGTAGAGGCTCAAGGGCTGACTGTGAAAATCAGCTCCAAATAACTGCAACATAACCCCTGTAAAAAGGGGAAAGATGTTCAGCTTTGCTCTGACAGGAAAAAGATCTTCTTCTGTCACTGGCAGAAAATCAGGAAGTCACAAAGAATGTGACAAACAAGGAGTTTTAATGATTTTATTMATCTGTTTTTGAACCTTAAGACTCTTATTTAAGCATAACCCAGGTGGCAGGGTGGAGAGAGGGGGAGGAATAATGCCAGAATTGCCAGTAAATAACCCCAGGTTCATTATCCATGGTGTCCCTCTGACCTGCTCCCAAGGGACACAGCCAGTGGGAGAGGGGTGCATTTTGGAGAGGGGTGCATTTTCCTCACCCTTTGCTAGGCAGACCCTTCRCAGGGTGTCAGCAGAGGCAGCAGCAGAGTTAAAAGAGAAATCTTGGTCTACTCATTTGCTGACTGTATTTTTTAGCTTTGTCATCAGGAYTGAGAATCAYAAAATGGTTTGGGYTGGAAGGGAMCTTAAARATCAWCCAGTTCCATCCCCTGCTGTGGGCTGGGTCACCTTCCACTGTCCCAGAGTGCTCCAAACCCCATCCAATCTGGCTTTGGACACTTCCAGGGRTGGGGYAGCCACAGATTCTCTSGGCCACTTGTTCCAGTGCCTCACCACCTTTCCTTCCATAAACTTAAAAGAATTTCTTCTGTTATTTCCAGCTTGYCTGAAGACACCTGGTGATATTCTTACATCTCCCCTTGTCTTCCAGCTGGTTGTGAAATAACAATGACAAATGGTTTCTGGGCTGGAGACTGTTCTTGGGCACAAGAGCTCAAAAGAAAAATTAATACAGCACAAAGGAATGAAGTGTTTCCTTAGCAAAAATTTCAAAACCTTTTCACCAACACTGATTATTGTACCCTGTGAATGCTCATTATTATTCTATGGGCACAGGATGAATAGAACAGGAAGTTTCTATTTTCCTGGAAAACTCTGAAAGCAGTTAAAAAAAAAAGTTATCCTCTCAGGATACAACATGCCCAGTGTACTGAATACAAATACAAAATTTCAAATGGAAATTTTCAGTTCATGTCCATCACAAGATAAARTATCTTTTTACCCACAAAATGGACAAGTCCAGAATTCAATTTCTGCAGAGAATTGCCAGCACTTTCGGTTACAAGTGTTAAGCAAGATTTTTGTRAGTAATTGCTTTTATTTAGAATTCTCCATCTCCATATATAATCTTGTAAGCAGAGACAGCTTTTGAATAGAAGAGGGAGAGAAATGAGACTGCAAAGATGGGACACAATATATACAAAATTTAAATATTTCAAGTGGGCAACAATGCAAGTGCATTTTTTTTCCTGGAATTGTGTCAAGATCACAAAAAAGAGCAATTGAGCAAGCATGCCAGCTCCTTCAGCTCAGTTTGCATTATTTATGTCAGGTAATGCTGAGTTCCCTCATCTGAAGCTACATTTGTGTCTGAAGATGGAAGTAGATTTCAGCATCAAAARGAGAGGAGCAATCTTTACAAACAGWAAATSTTTCATGTGAGCCTTGAGAAGCCTTCTGTGCTATTTTACAGCAATACATTTTATTTTACCTGAGGTTTGCCATTTTCCTTAGCATTTAAGGTTGGCATCTGGATTCTGCACCGAGAGGAGCCGTTCAGGAAGGTTTTAGAACTCTACAAAAAGAAAACAAAACAAACTCCATATTTTCGCTGCTTGTTTTTTAAAGAATCAACATGAGTGTCAATCATCTCTCTGGAACAAGTTTTTGTGCATTGTAACATGAGCATGACCCCAAATGGAGCATTTTGAATTTGAGGACTGTGTATTTTGACATTTTCAAGCTCTTACACAACCTATGGCAATGGACATAAAATGCACTCAGAAATTGATGGGAAGGCTGATTTCATACTGGTTTTATACAGAAGCAGCTGAATTCAGAGCACAATCATGCCCCTCTCAACATCCTCAGCTACTGTTTCCTCTACTGAACTTACTGACATTGCAAGTTTAGTTTTTGCAGATGATTCCAGGAGAGCTACAGAAGCTGATTTGTTTCATGAAAACCTTGATTTTTCACTTTCCAAACYCCTTTATGATAAAAGTTTATCCCTTTAGCTTATATTCTATATCACTATATAATTTTAACCCARAAATTCACTGTGTTCTTGTGGACAGGAGTATTAATGAGGGATTTGAGCCCCTCCAGCAAGTTCCAGAGGAAAAAAAATGAGACCAAAAGCTGTATTTTAGGCACCAGGTRGATGTGCTTTTTATCCTTACTTATTGACAAGTGTGTCAGTTCGTGTGTCAGTTGACACCAAAACTGCATTCACTGGAAAATACCACTGAGAGATCTTTAGACTAAAAAGATTTACCAGGGACATTCATGTTTATCTGATGAATTAAATATACAGCTCTAAAATAGGTTTGCAGTCAGGTATGGMCAACCTATTGCTATGGCCAAAAGAAGCAATGTGCATTTCTCAGGGGTGAGATTTTTAAGTGTCTAATCACACTTTAGAAGCAAAAAAACCCCAATAAAACAATTAAAAAAAACCTCAAACTGATACTAAACAATAAACACCTCCCTGCCAACCTGGCCCCAAATAAACCCCACCTCAAGCTCACCACCACAAATAAAAAAAGAATGCAAATCCTCACTGAACAATCCAGTTCAAAATCAATCACTGGAAATTCTTTACCCCCCGCAAAAAACCAAGCGTATGTATTTCAGTATTTTTTTAGACAAATTTCCTTTCATTAGCCAAAGCCTCCTAAGAAGGCAAAACACATTTGAGGATAAACTGTATTATTTCTGCTGCTCAGTACAGAGCTGAGGTACARGCAGCCTTGGGCCTCAAAATAAACCAACACTCGAGCCCCCAGGGGACTGATAAAACAGATCTAAGTTTTGTCTTACAGAAAACCTGGCTCTTGTAAAAAATGTGATTTACAATAATCCACGGGAAAGAAAATCCATTACCTAGAGACATCTACATCTTTAATCAGAAGCTCAGCAGAGGAAAAATGAATGAYTTTTTCATTTGACTGTCAAAAAGTAAGATTTATTGTGGTAAGGAGAAAATGTCTAGGGAAAAGGACTGGACTGAGAAGCTGCACATTTAATTCTTAGACTTCTTCCTCCTTTTCAGGGGATAAAAATTGCAATCTGGTAATTTTTAAATGCACAAGCACTTTGCAACAGGAGTTTAATGGAGAGAAGTTTTCTGGGAGTGCAAAGTCAAGATAAAGGAAGTTTCTAGAGAATAAAGACAGGTCTGTATGAACATGACGTAACTATGGAAAAGAAAAGGTACAAGGAGGAAGATGAGAAGTAATAAAACCAGTTCTAAATCACCACATTTCCCAAAGAAAAAAAAAAAGGTTAAATCTCCTCTTTAACTTCCATAAAGGAAGTTCACCAGTGCAGAATAAAGCCCACTGACTTCTCACTCACATTTGTCACAGGCACAGCCCTTCAGAAAGTCAAGATCAAGCCTCCAATGCCAGCATTWAAAAGCACTTTATTGTCCTCGAGTATTCATTTGGAAACAAATTTCAGATGGAGAAACCAGAGCCAAGATGAACACAGGCAAACGAAGCACAGCCCAGGAAACCAGAGAATAAAGAGAAAGAACCACACGTTCAAGGCTCTGTGCCTGATGCTCCATCTGTGGGTTTGGACAACTGAGTGAAATCAGATTACTCACCACTACAAACTCTGYAGAAATACTGGGCTCACGACCATGCTGCAAACAAACAGTAGACCAAATTCATCCAAGACAGTGACATCACACCGAGAGGAACCTGATCTCTCAATCTTAATATAACCTCAAGTCTTTCCCTCTCGTGCTGAGCATTTATTTTAGTGCTGCTTAAATTTAACTGGCCTCATTCTTCCACAATGAGATTTAGTTTTTAGCCCCAGCCAGCAGAGCTGTCTGCTCCTAGCCAGGACATCTGGCCACAATACCTGAGCCTTATGAGAAAGGCAAGTGTGCATGTGTAAAGCCTTTAAAAAAAGATTTCTAACTATCTGCAAAAGCACATAGGTTGTTCAGGTTGTCACTGAATTAACTGAACAAAAAAAAAARGACAGCAAGTATTTTATGCCTATCAAATTCTACCCCTTGTACAACACAGATGAAATACTTTTTCCCTATTTTACTACAAGAACCTTCCTTCAATTGGCACTCACTTCACAGTCAGAAACTGTCACTACCACACCTGCATTTGGACATCCTGAACTTCTACTCTTTGCTAATTAATCTCCTTCATTTCTAATCCCACACCCTGCAGTGTACAGAAGCTGTGAGTCCCTTCCACAGGGGTTCAGAATCCTTGCAGACCCCTCAGGACTGAAGTACCTGAGCAGYCCCAATGACAGAAAGCTTCCCAGGACAAAGCAAATCTCACTCTGAGACAGATCCAAGGCAGGTGGAGAAGGCCTGCTATAAACTCCTCCCAGATTTCCAGATGTGAAATGGGAACAGAGAARGAAGAAGAGATGCCTTTCACTCTGAATGAGGTTTCCAGGGAAACAAAAGGTCAAATGCATCCCACACAGCCAGAGTGAGCCTGGAGCAGTGACCTTGCTGCTGCACCAGAGAAGGCTCAGTCAAACGCTCATCCTTTTCTGCAACAGGGGGAAATAGSTCCTAAAACACTAAGTTATTGTTTAAAATATCACACCAAATAGATATTCCATGTCAAATTTTTCCATACCAGCTCAYTGAGACATATGAGCAGCATACTGTGCAGAACACTTTAGTTATGCTTTCCACGTGAAGTGTATTTGAAACAAATAACAAATATTTGCTTCCACAAGGCTTAACTGGGTATTTCGTAAAAATGATGCTCTCAACTACTTAAAAGCTAAGGAAAAATGGGATTCCTAACAGCAGGAAATGAGTCACTTAAAATACTCTCACACTTTACAGGAATTACTTCTAAGAAATGGAAGAGAAATAAATGAAAAATACAGAGTGCAGTGTGAGCCCACCTTGTCTCACAGGAATAAACTAAGAATAGGAGCTCCTCAGGCCATTGAAAGCATTCAGAGGCTTTATCAGAAGTACTTCATATGAAGAGGAAAAAAATTAACTGGTAAAGAAGAGAAAACAGACTAGAAAAGCTGCCTTCTGACCATATTCAAGAGCATTAAATATGTGAAATTCCATCTACCTGAAAATATTAGATRGTAAAAAACCAACAATCATCCCTGTACAATCCATCTGTGAGATTTACAAAGAAAATGTGAAGTTCACATGTATCCACATGCCCAGACMATTTCCATGGRGAATTCCCCTGGGACCTTCACCAAYAGCCCTGATTTACCCTCYRACATGGGAAACCTTGTGGTTTGCTCTGTCAATCCCCTCTGTTATTCCAAAAAAATAATTTGAAATGTGGCAGACCTGATTGCCCACAGGTTCCTGGGAGCCTGGAGCAAGAACTGCTCCAGGTTTTAGCTGCAGTAGAGACAGAAACAGAGCAGAGTCTCAGAGAGCACGAAACAAGATCAACCTGTGAACAATCCTGAACAAAACTGGGCCAGGAAGGACATTCTGTTGTAAGAAGTCAAACACAGCTGGTCTTCCTAACGCTCTCTTTGCTCCCTTTCCTTGCTTTTTACTTTTCTCCAATTCCATCTTGAATTTGCCTACATGAGGCAAAGAAAGGAACCATCTTCTCCCACAGCAACTCAGGATTTCCAAGGGATATCTTTTCACCACTGACAACTTTCTGAAATACTTAATTCTGAGCCCACATAACACCTCAGGAAGATTAAAGAAAAGTAAGAAAACTCAAGGAAAAAAAAAGATGACGTTTTTACTTGTTTTATTGTCCTAAGATCAACCGCTGCAGATTTTTATTTAAAACAAATTAATTCACCTCTTGATTCACTTGATTTGACAGAAATTAAGTTCCTGGTTTACCAGTGAAGCACAGAAAACCATCACTGCCTCAAGTGCAGGCTCAGTTGTAACAGCCTARCACAAAAAGACCACAAGCTGATTTCCAGAACTATCTCAACAAACATGAGTATTAGGAGGCAAAAATTAAAAAAGAAAATGCATTCACTTACACTGGATGGTGTGCAGGAGCAACTGATATCTTTAGGATCTGAAATAAAATACCACACACAGTTAATAGTGAAACCAAGACCAAGAAAGATCTCCTAAAACACTTTCAAATAGTGTAATTTACTGACAATAAGCTGACAGTACAGACAGAAAGTGCTACTCTTGCAGTGCAGCTCATGACAGAATTCTCATCATCTCTGCAGAACTTCCCATCCTGAGACAGGACAGTTACAGTAAAACAAGCATTCCCATCTGTGAGTCTGCACAGGGACAGGATAGACAGTCCTCTTTAATTTCACATTGGAAATATCAAGACCTGTTCCATCAGCTGCCTCCTGTATTTCACAGCCCAGAGGATGGATGGCACAGAACACACACTGCAGCCAATGGGACATTCTGCTGAGATCCACTGAACAACTGATCAGGAGATGACAGTGGGGTGAATTCTGGAATGTTCTTCTGTCAGGGGCACAGGAGACCTTTCRGGTAACAGAGCTGGGGATGGGTCTGGGGCACAAATCAGGTGAGAAGCAGCTGGGAAAGGGGCTGAGCCTGGAGCAAAGGAGGCTCCGGGGGGACCTTGTGGCTCTGCAAAATCCCTGACAGGAGGGGGCAGCCGGGGGGGTCGGGCTCTGCTCCAGGGAACAGGGACAGGAGGAGAGGGAATGGCCTCAGGCTGGGCCAGGGGAGGCTCAGGGTGGACACCAGGAGGAATTTGCCCATGGAAAGGGTGCTCAGGCCTTGGCAGGRRCTGCCCAGGGASCTTTGGARTCCCCATCCCTGGAGGTGTCCCAGGAAGGGCTGGAGGTGGCACTGAGTGCTCTGGGCTGGGGACAAGGTGGGGACTGGACACAGCTTGGACTTGATGACCTTAAAGGTCTTTTCCAACCTCAATGATTCTAYGATTCTAGGTGCATAAGATCTTTAAAGGTAACACTTTTAGGCTCTTCTCCACCAAGTGTTGTGGGAAGAAGCTCTCTAAGGATGGGCACAGCTTGAGGAATATGAGCCCTCTGTGGTTCAACCCCACCAAAACACTCACGTTCAATAAGGAACAGGAAACAAACAATCCCCATCACAGCCACGACGACCCCAGGCACCACAAAGGAGAGACCCCAGCACGTGGACACCCAGTAAGCAGCAATCAAGGATCCCAAGATATTCCCCACTGAAGTGTGTGAATTCCAGACTCCCATGATCAAACCTCTCCTGCATTAAATAAAAACAAAAACAAACACACAAACGTTTCTTATTATAAGCATTAATCCCTTGAGAAAAGTGTATCAAAGTGGCTGTTCATCTGTAGTGTCAGKGAAATATTTGCAGTCTAATGGGTCTTTAACTGATCATTTATTTATGCTACAATCTCCAYCTGGAAATTTCAAGGCACCTAAATATTAATAAAACTGCTGTAAAGACTCTGTGCATGACAGAATTCATCCTGCACTTACTGGCATTTAAAAACACCACCGGGGCTTGCATATTTCTGAATAATTTCTTTTATTAAAACAAGTATGCAGATGTTGTGTAGCATGTGGACACCAAATACAATGCTTTTGGGAATAAAAATCCTCCTGCAAACACCATGCACCGACAATCTCATGCTCTCAGGATGTGTCAGAGTCATCATGCAGAAGGAAACAACCTGTACAGGACACCTGGAGCAAATTCAGTGTTTTGTGATTCCATTCTGGACTTGCTGGGCTCTGGCAGAAGATGACACCTGCACAAGTTTGGGCAAAACCCACGTCAGGCTCCTCTCTGCCTGGAAATGCCAGATTAAAGCTGCTGCATCAGCTTCAGCTGAGCTGGGGTAAACCACAAAACCCTCACTGAAGTCATGACAGCAGAGGTTCTCTTCCCTTGGAAGTCATGGGACAACTGCCTTGCCCTCATCAGGATTTTACCTGGAGCAGCCTAACTTCAACAAACCCAGATCTTTTCCTGGTCTAATGATAAAATCTAARAGGTCTGCTCATGCTTCATGGAATTTACAGCAAAATGAAAAGAAGAACCAGGTCACTGAAATTCAAACCAGAGYCTACCCCATCAGACCACGGTGTGGCATCCTAACAGTAAAGGCTGCTGCTTTTGCACAAGCAAAGCCTGAATAAATGTATTTATTTTGCACAAACTCACTGATTTTGTTCAGTATTGCATGACAGTTATCATTCTCTGCATTTCCTAATGGAAAATTACTT